CCCTAAAACCCCAGACCCTGAACCCAAACCCTAAACCCCAGCGAATGAGAATCCCTAAGCCCTTATTGGCTGGCCTCGCAGAGACCTTTGATCCACCAATCCCTTTGCAGCAAAGGTTTTATGGGGTCTAGGGTTCAGGGTTTAGGTGTTTAGGGTTCAGGGTTTAGGTGTTTAGGGTTCAGGGTTTAGGTGTTTAGGGTTTAGGGGTTTATGGTTTAGGATTAGAGCTTGGCGTTTAAGGTTGCGGGTTTAGGGTTCAGAGTTTATAGGGTATTCCAGCACCCAAGGTTTCAAGATTACAGGGCGTTCAGCGTGCTGGAGTTTTAGGGTCCCGTGCTGGATCTAAGCTAGGAGTCCCTGTCTTGCGTGCTTACCGCGCGGTTTTGGTTTAGGGTAGGATTTAGGATACCCTGGACCTGGAACTATGTGCGGCCCATAGAGTGTATTTCAGGTTCCTGAACTTGCATATGCAATATGTATAGTGACCACTATTCCTTAGAAAACTATACATATACATATATGTATATATATATATATACATATACACCAAATAATTCTACTGCGTGTACCTTCTTTGGGACACAATCGCTACGGCCTCCGTCTTTCAAGGGTCCTATAATCAATAAGCGATCCTAAACTCAGAGGAAATTTGCAACAATTCAGTCGGACTCCCAGATGTGGCTTCTAATTAAACTGCAGATCTATATGTGATGGCCTTATCCGAGTTTCCCAAAGATAGGGATCCTTTTTAGGGATCCCCATATTCAGCTTTAGCGTATTTTGCCGCCTGTATTGGGAACCCGTATTCTGGAAACTCCCATATGCGTTGGGGAATAATTAGTTGGACCCAACACCAGACTCCAAAAATGATGTTGAAGAGCCCACTAGACCTCTAGCTGCACCGCCGGCCAATTTTTTAATGGTTGCCAAATTCAAATAGTATTGCGATGTTCAAATCTGCATTTCCATACAACCTTTGAGAGTTAATTAGGCCCCAATCCCTGAAATTTAGGACCCTGCTAAAGGAATCCATTGTTTCAACAGCCCTCCATATCTGGCTTTGGGTTTACGGCTTAGAGGTTTAGGGTTTAAGGGTTTAGGGGCCCTCCATATTCGGGATGTGCGAGGCTGAATATCAAGAACATTGTCCCCTCACCATCCTGAATGGAGCTACCGTATCGTCGATACTGCAGGGAAGCCTCCATATGTGTCTTGCGGAGTCGCAGAGGCCTCTGATGTATCATTTTCGCTGGCCCCGCAGGGTGAGTCGCACCTACCCTGTTTCATATTATGTAAAATACTTTAAAGCTCCGGAGGAGACCCTAGGACGCAAGTCTAGGGGAGGAGGGGGGCGAGTTCGCCTACATGTACGAGTCTTCCTGCGAGTAATTCCGTGAGTCGAAATTTTGTAGCACCGCAGTAATCCACGTCTTAGCTTCACTTCCGCCATACTTGGAAGCCTGCAGCTGGCCGGCCCGAAGCTTAATTTCTATGGCAACCAAAAATATGCACTCGATTTCTGGGCTTAGCATAATGAAGCTATCTTCTTTGAAAATGCTGTACATTCCTTGCGTGCTGGAACCTAACGCTGAACCCTACACCCGAACGCCTGAGCCCTGTATCCGGAGCCCTTAGCTCTAAACCTCAGCGCTTCACTTCAAAATCCTGGGCCCTAAAACCCTAAACCCCAAACGCCTCAAACCCTAAAACCTGAACCTAGACCCTAAAGCTTTAACGCTAAAAACCAAAGCTCCACGCCTAAACCCTAAGTCCTAAACCCTACGCCGAAACCCTAAACCCTAACCCAAAGGGTCCATGTAGGTATATGGGATATAATTGGGCCTTAAAGTAGGTATATGGGAACCCCTTTGGGCCCTAAGTATATACCATATACCTACATGGACCCTTTGGGTAAATCCTAAGAACCCAGGCCTGCATTGGTATGGCACACGATCAGCAGGCCTGGACCACCAGCAGCAGTAGGGCTAAACCAAAAGGGTTTCAGGTTTATGGGTTTTTAGTGCTTAGGGTCAAGGGTTTAGGGTTTTAGGGTTTTAGGGTCGAGGGTTTTGAAGATTTAGGGTTAAGGGTTTAGGTTCATGTTGCGCGGCTAAAGTCCTTCCATGACCTTGTGATACTAAACTCGCATAGTTCACCAGATTTAGAGTACTTGAGGTTACGCAGGATATCAGTAACCACTGTAGTTCAAGCGAGATTCCTGAAAAAGTGAGGGCACTTGGTAAGCAGGTTTTATGCTAGGTTGTAAGCAGGCTAACCCGAGTTAGGCTACTCATACATCTACTTACAGCCTACTTGCTAAGCCCCGAGAGCCCTAAACCCTAGGCCCTAAACCCTAGGGGTCCAAGTACCTAATAATCATATACTTACCCAAGACCTGTACTATATTGACTATTACCCAAAACCCAAGTATCGGATTCATGGGTTCTTGAACCCTTCGGGAAATCGGCCCTCAAAGTAGGATCAGTCTTCAGGTTCGGGGCCACATACACCTCCGCACCGAAATCCTACACGTTGTATACCCTAAAACTCTACGCGAATATCATTAACTCTACGTCCCCCAACCCTATAAATCCTATACCCTACACTAACCCCTG